GCATGTTGAATATCTGAGCTGTCTTGAGAGGCAGTCTCCAACGTGAAGCCTGTTCAGAATACCATCTAATTTTAAGGAAGGTTTTTCTGTCCTTTACTTCTGCCTCCTTCCCTCCCCACTAATCAATTAAAGTTTGTCTTATGTCTAAATGCTATGATGACTAGGATAGTAATTCTGGACACATATGACACAGACATTCTGGTACATGCACCTTTATATTTAGACATTATGGGAGAGTAGAGCATGTAAGCTTGATAAAACATAAGTTCCTAAGTTTTAGAGATGAAGATGATTTTAAGTCCATGCTGTAGTACGAAGAAATTGTAAGTAAAACACAGAGTTTCTGAATTACGCGTGATCTGTGATCCAATAGCAGCTTGAAAATAATCTGATTGACAGGCTGCATGTTTTCATTAGCTTTTTGCCATGAAAGACAGGAGATGACTCTGCAGTGGGTAACAAGTGATCTTGGGTTCTGGACTTACTGTACCAGTGGATGGTAGCCATTGTATTCTTTTTTTTTTTAGTACAGAATTAAAAAAAAAAAATTTTGCTATTTAATGGGTTTTTTTGGCTATAATTAGTCTTTTCTGCCAAATCTTTGCATGGAAGACTGTTTTTGAAAAACCATCTTATGCTTTTCACTGGATTGGTGATTTATGTCTCCTTTTCCTTGCACTGGCACAATATCCTCTTCTTCATATTGTTCATTCCAATATATACTAATTTAGGAAGTGTCTCCTTTTTGGCAGCATACACCTAAAATTGCCATTGAAATTTCTTCCTGATTTGCTCATGTTTTTATTCTCACTTTTCCAGAGTTTAAGCTGTGTGTTTGCTCGTCAGGTTCTCTCCGTGCCATAGCTTGGAATAGTCAAGTAATACTAGAGAGTTTCACAACTATCAGTGATCCTTTAAAATGTCATTTCAACCTTCAAACTAGTAGGAAGTTTGGGACTAGAATAATTCTAAAGCTGTTCCAAACTTTTATTATGGTACCTCTAAGTGACAATCAAAATTTCCAAAGACCTGTAAAGGAATATGTTTCTTTTTATTTATGTTGGATATTTCATAAAAATATTCAAAATAAAATTAAATTCTAAACCATGGGGAAAACAGCTACCCGATTATTATAGTATGCAGTGTTAGAGCATTTTGTGTTTTCTGTTTTGATCTTGAGTTGCTGGCTATGCAGAGTTGAAGTATTAGATCTTAAACTAGCAAAAATACGAGTTGCTGACAATGTATTGGTCAAGAAGCATTGCGGGTATCTGTTAGGAACGTACGTACTCGTCCTCCTTTTCTGTCAGGAAGAGGGCAGTAAGGACTTTTGTGGGTTTGGCAGGGTGTTTTGCCCTTGGACAGAAACTTCTGGAAAAGCTTGGGGGGTGTATGTGTGTTCTTTTATATAATAATAACAATTTTAGATGTTAGACCTGAAGATTTGCAGCTGACCTTTTCTGAGAAATACCTACTTGCATAGACAATGAGATCTCATTTAGAGTGGCTGTCAGCTTGTGAGTTTAAAAATAAAAGATTCCCCATATATCCTGGTAGATCAGTAAGTGAAATAACAATAATGATATAGAAGGTCTTTTCTCTCTTGAATTTGGACTGTGAGCATCCATCAGTCTGGATTTTGGCTCATTGCATGTTCATGCATCAGTATTTGAGCTTCAGAATTCATATGGTTACATATATTTGTTTACATGTAGTTCTCTCTACTTAGAATTTTTAAAAATATAGAAAAAATCCCTCTGTTATATTGAACCAAATTTAAACTCACAAATATTAGATATTTAATATTAGATAATACAGATGTTAATAAAATAATAATTTCACAGAGATGCTGTGAAATATTAACCACATTGGGATTGTAAGGGAGTGGGCACAAAATTCTAAGTCTTCTTTATATGCCCTTGTTATTGTTAAACATGTGGTCTCCCAAGTCTGAATATTTATATTTTTATAATGTTATAAAATCACGCTTAATATAAAATTTAAAAGCCAAACCGTGACTAACGTCAATAAAAATGATTATATTTATTATGAACTTCTAACACTGCTTTCTTCGGTTAGGCATATCTTGTTCCTCATTTGTATGACAATGAAAAAACAGCTAATACAGGACTAAATTTAGGAAATGTTAGGGGCAAATGTGGCTTATGTTCTACTTACTTCTGTGAGCACGAATTTGAGTTAGTTCTGAAGTAATTTTATCAGGCTTTCAGTTGGGTTTTCAAGTTGTATGAATGGTCAGGTCTGAATTTTTCCAAACATTTGAAAGTTACACAATCAAAATGCAGTCATCCAAAGAGTTACTTAAAAACATGTTTTCAGCAACTATATCATCAGCATAGCATTCCTTCCCCATCAACTTGCTTGTCAGTAATCATTATCTTCTCTAAAACAAGCAAAACAAAAAAAGCCAATGCTTGTAACCTATTTCTTTGGGGCCACTCATATTGCAGAGTCTGTGTGTATGTCCTAGCAAATGCCTTGACTGGATGCCCTTTTTCACTATGAAAGTGCATGGAAATCTGAGTGCGGTGGCTTCAGACAGCATCACAGTTTAACTCTTGAACATAAAAATTTTGTATGACACTGTTCAGTCTTGCAGCGCTTCACTGACAAATACTATGTGCATCATTGACCTTAGTAGTAGGACTTTGCCTAGGAATAATTATTCACATCTTCATCAATTGTTTGCTAGACTGGAATGTTACCATTATCATGTAAATTAAATACATTATAAATGGATGTGAAATTATATGGTATTTTGTACAAAACAGTCATACTATAGTGAATTAATTTTGGTTGATGTTTAGAACTCTGAATGGAAAAAAAATTTTCAAGAGAAATATTCATTGGGACAGATTCTAATTAACTTTTCAATATTTGATATTTACTGAGGTGGTAAAGATGCTTCCTCTTAAGGAGTTGTAATGAGATGGAGAGAAAGGTGCAAGAGAACCTCCAAACTCTTGGAGTTTGGACGTAGTTTGAATGAATTTAGTATTTGTATGTCTAAGGAGAAGCATCTGCTTTTAAAAATTATTTTGGTTTAATTGAAATGTGTGTAGTAAATGTAATTGTTTCATTTAAAATTATATGAAAGATTTTTAATACAATGACTTGGTGGGCAGATTGGATAACTCGTGAAGACCTTACAGTAGGTACCTAAGGGATCAAAGAGTACGCTCTGTCACAGTTAGAGGTCAGAACCTGGCTTTTGATAGAGAATGTGAAGTGTTGAGCTTTTTTAGACTTCTGAAGTGCAACCTTTGATCAAGGTGGCCAGCTTTTCCATTGCTTATGTTGTAATCTGTGCATCTGTGTACAGTAATTGATATGGCCAATCATCTATTTTCCTTGCAGAAGGAGTTAATCTAAAACCCCAGACAGAGGACAAATCTGGGAGTTTGTAAGGTGACAAGTTTAGTTTATCTCTGAATTTTTTTGCAAAATGGTCTTTTTTTTGGGTGATGCTTACTGCAATTTCTAAGTTGCCGTTACACTAATTTTCTTTAAAATTGGCTTTTGTATATATCTTTAAAACATGACTTAATCTGATTATATTAAATAGCAATGTATTTATATTGTAACATGATCATCTTTTAAAAACACCATGTGTCAAATTTGAGGTCAACCTTAAAAACTTGAACTCTGCATTTTGTGGTATTTTAATGCATGATCTTTTTGTAGCAATAACCTAATCATAGGTGTTGCCCATAATAAATACAAGACTGTATTTAATGTGTAGTAATTGAAATAAAACTGGTTGATATTTCCCTCAAATCCAGATACTATTGGGGTAATGTTAAAGTAAAGTATAGTTTTAAATTGGAAACTTCCTCTGACGTGTTTCTTGTGTCTGTTGTATCTCTAGTGTAAAAGAGCAGGTTTTTAATTGAGTTGGAGTCTGGCTGTCAGGTCTAACACTGTTTCTTACTGCAAAACAAGGTTCTCACCCTCTCCTCCTCCATGTCCTTATTTCACAACATTGAAAACCAACTCTGAAGAGAATAAGGCTGTTTTGGATGACGTTCAGGGAACAGATCAAATCAAGGCCTCTATGGTATATAGGTTATGGCACACATTTCTCAGTGAAAATGTCTTTGCTGGTGGTGAATGTTTTTAAAAAAGGAATTAGGGTGTCTTGTTGCTACAAGCCGTTGGTAGCAAGAAGATCATATTCCTACTGTTAGGGCAAAAATGTTATTTATTATGTGAAGTTGTAGAAAGTTATTTAATGACTTAGGGTTGGGGTTTTTTTTTTTCATTTCTCCCTTGTCATCTCCCTTTCTAGCCTGAGAGTATTACCTTTTGATGAGACTATTTACTTCTTGCATTTTGCTAGATTTCCAGTGCCTGCTTTTCAGGGAAACAAGGATTATTAAAGCAGGCATTTTAAGAGTTAGCACAATTCAAGTAACACCCATTAAGTCTTTTAACAACTTTTACAAGTATGAATCTTTGAAGCATCTCTGGGAAATGAGGAGTGACACAGAATACCTCTAGCCTAGTACACATTAAAAAATCAGAAGCACGGAGAGTTTAAACTACTTGTTCAAAGCCACAAGAGCTAATTGGTGGTAGCACGGAATTGAAAGCTGGATCTTCAGATTGTTAGTTGGCCTTCTGGTTCTCTCGACTGTTATTTTCTGACTGGTGTTGGAAAAGTTTTGCTCTTATCATTATGGTGATCCTAATGGTTAGACACATAAATGTGGGAGACTGGAGGTAATAAAATCCAAAGCAAGTTTGGGGAGGTTGTTAATCTGAATTAAGCCAGTTTAAGCACACAAATAATTTTTATTCCTGGAAAATACTTTTCATTTATGCATGTAATGTATGTAAAATTTGATTTACAAAGGACTTCTTTTCCCCTTAAATCAGGGCAATATGTACTGGAACACTGCTGACTGAAGGTTAAATATCTGATTGTAATTTGTTCTCTGGCAGGTTCAGACAAGAATCTGGTGGTCTTTCCCTGACAAATGGAGAACTATTTCCAAGCAGAGGCATATAACCTCGATAAGGTTTTAGATGAATTTGAGCAAAACGAAGGTGAGTCATTTTGAACAAGATCGTAGATGTACATTAAGTGTATTCTACAGAGAACACTATTGAAAAGGAAGAGGTCTGTGATACCCTTTTTGGTTTTGACTTGCAAATTAATCTCAGAACTTTCAGAAAACATCTCTTAATTTTGCATGGTGTGTCTTCAGCTCTTCTCTTTCCATTCATCTTGTTTACTTTTTAAAAATTTCTCACTGTTTTAATAGAAAATCTTCCATACACTTTTTAAAGAAAGGTTTTGTGAAGCTTAATCTCAGTGGCAATATTTTAATCATTTATTTTAAACAAATCAGGCAAAACTTATTTTAAGCTTCTTTTGCTGTTTTGGGAGACTCAAGCATAGAAATGTTTTATTAGGTCACATAAATCATAAGTGAAAGTTATCATATTTGGAGTATTGAATTTTTTGCTTAGTCTAATTGCTACTTCTGTGCTGTCAAGGAAGTTGAACACTTTATAGGAGTGGGAATCTTTCTAGGCATTTCTAGCTGTCTAAAGTATATTAATCAATAGTTTAAAGTTGCTTATGCAAATTCAACCTGATACTAATTGGCATAGCTATAAACTTCTTGAGTTCCAGAAACATTATGCAATTACACTACTAATGGTTGATAAGGATGTTAATTATGGCAGAGGTGTTTTACTGTTGTGCCCATATTTGAACATCTCTACATTTATATTTGGGACATTCTAATGCAACAGAGTTAATAGAACCTGTAGCTTTAATAGGACAGTAAGTTCTCTTACTTAAACACTTTTTCAGATGCCGCTGTTTCACCTACACTATTGGGTGCAAAGTGGAATCAGATTCTAGATCCGCCTTCTCGTCGTCTGTCATTTAACCCGACCGTGGCCAATGTGAATGAAGCTACAACTCCTAATGAATGTCAACAGAGGTTAAAGTCTTTCTCCTTGGCTCATTCAGAGACTACACCAACAGGAGGAGGGGATCACTGTGCTAATGGAAAGGATTTTAGCATAAGCCCAGAGACTCCAGTCATGTGGATTGATGATCAGGCAGCAGCAGATGATGCGTTGATTAAAAGAAATAGTAATCGGGATGATCAGTGTAACACTGTGGAAACAGGAGAAAAGAAATGTGGAAATATAGCTTGCTTGCCAGAGGAGAAAAATGTACTAGTGGTGGCAGTCATGCATAACTGTGACAGAAGAACACTACAAAGTGGCGATTTGCTGGATTGTAAAAATTACAACAGTCAGTCCCTAATGGACACTATTAGCTTTACACTGGATAATGAAAACAGGCAGAGTGATCAGTTTAGTGTTACTGTAAATGGATCCACGGAAAAAGATACAGATACAGAAAAGCAAGTAAATCGTCTGTGCACTGAAGATGACTCTATAAGTCATTTGATTAATGCTTCATCTGAAAGCCTGACCGTTTCATGCCCCTCCTCTCAATTAAAGGATGATTTTAATATGAGTAAAGATTCACTGTTTTCAGAAGCTACAACTGCAGGGATTAATGCAGTGACTCTCTTACAGAGACCAGTTGATGGTACCGTTAAAATGCAAGAAAATTGTGTATCAGTTGAAAATTTTTCTAGTAAAGCCATTCCTCAGAGAATGGATCTAGAAGCTAAAAACTCTTCTGGTTCAAGTAATGGTAGCTTAATCATAGAACAGGAAACAACCCAACAGTTACGGTCTAGACTATCTGGGCTCACTGAAACTTGTCAACCTAATGTGGCTGGAAGTGGCAACTACAAGGAACATGTTGCAGAACATTTTGCCCCTGAGGATGTTAGTGCCACTGAAAGCGGAGTCATTGAATGTGATAAAAATCTTGGCACAACGGAATTGCTCAGCGTGGCAGAGTGTTACCCTGAATCTCAGGAGATGACTAATTGGGAACTGACTAAGTTGAATGAGATGAATAATAAGCAAACTCTGGGAGAGAATGAAAGACTTTTGCAGACGAAACAGCCTGATGAGGCATGTAGTGATAGTAAAGATGATGGAGATGGGATGATGGAGGCAGGCATAGACTTAAAAGGAACTGGTATAGATGAGCTTGAGGGGTCCAGTCTCTCTGATGTGATGCCTACATCAGCAGCAAGCTCTCTGTCTAATGGTTGTGATTCCTATGGAATGCAGAACCCGGTTGTTTCTCATGTTCCAAAGACTCTACCCTCCAAGGAAGACTCGGTAACAGAGGAAAAGGAGATAGAGGAGAGCAAGTCAGAATGTTACGCTAATGTTTATGAACAGAGAGGAAATGAGACCACAGAAGGGAGTAGTCTTATTTTAAACAGCACTGGTGACCACATAAAGAAAAATTATTTACATAATCTTTGTAGTCAGGTTTCATCCATTCAAGGGCAAACTTCACCAAAACCAGTGACTAATCTGCAATCTATCAGTGTTCCTTTTGGTGGTGCAAGACCTAAACAACCTACAAATCTTAAACTGCAGATTCCGAAGCCATTATCGGACCACTTACAAAATGATCTTGTTCCCCCAAATTGTGGAGGTAATAGTAAAAACAAAAACGTCTTTGGTAAAACACAATTAGGGGATACAGCAGACACGTTTCCTGGTGAAACATCTTTAAATGCCTCTGTTACTGATACTAATGGGGAACATTTGGAAGAGTATGAATCTGGAGTCTCCAGTATTCCGTGCCTTGCAGTAGCCCCAGATAGTCCAGATAATGATCTCAGAGCTGGTCAGTTTGGAGCTCCAGCCAGAAAGCCTTTTACGACTTTGGGTGAGGTGGCTCCAGTTTGGGTTCCAGATTCTCAAGCACCAAACTGTATGAAATGCGAAGCCAGATTTACATTCACCAAAAGAAGGCATCATTGCAGAGCTTGTGGGAAGGTAAGTTTGTATTTTGTGAGTAAGCTTAAAGCACCCTTTTTTTCCTGCTACTGCATAAAATCAAATCAGAGGACACCCTAAGCCACTGGCTATAGTTACCCGTGACATCTCTTCCTGAAAAGCCGTGTTTGATTTTGTGACGGAAAAAAAGGAGTTTCTAAGCTCTAGTCTATTTAGGGTTCTAATAAAGAATAACTAATCGTTATTTATAACTGAAAGAATTATTAGCCTGTATGAGCAGTGTATTTGTTGATTGCAACAATCAACATAATTGGATTCATGTAGAACTGCTATAAAATGGCTAAGTGCAGGAAACTAGTTTGCAGAAATTACTGCATCAATAATCCCATTAAAGATACTGAAACATATTCATGGGAATTGGAAGTGTGCTGTTGAATTGTTGGCGTTCCTGCTGGTTCAGATGGCTGATCAACTCTGTTCTTTTAAGTCTTCTTTACTATCTTTTCTCATATTGCTTACATTATTTTAAAGATTATACATTTGCTCCTGGAAAAAAATATAGTAAATTATCTGTAACCTGATGTATGTACACATGGTGAGAAATTTTATAATGAAGACAACTAAAACATAATTTCTGTATCATTTTGTGTTGTGTAAGAAATATTTTATTGTTTACTTTTTTTTTTTTTTGAAGTTTTATGTATGTGCCATCTAGGTCAACACAAATTCTTATGTGGCAAGTTCATGGTACATGATTAGCTTGTAAAGTATTTCCAAATATCTTGTTACTGAAATAAAAGTCAGTGGCACATGGGAAGTAGGAACTTAGGAAAAAATATGATGATTCAAAAGCGGTAAACTAACACTCTTGTCAAGTAGATATTCATGAATATTTTTAAGATGAAAAGAAAAACTAGAGTAAAAGTACCTTTGGTTCATTTAGGCCCTAACCAAAGGTTTCTGAAGTTGATTGAAAGACCTTCTGACGGCTATGGGCAAGATCTTTAGTCACCAGAAGAGTGCAGGGAAGCAGAATGACTTGAACAAAGGCCCTAAAAGAAGCAAATGTATCTGGAACGCTCAAACTCTTATGCCACCTGTTTCTGGAAGCAGCCTAGCAGAAAACCCAGGCTTGCTCCTCTGTAAAGACTATGTATGTGTGCCACTTGCCCCTTTAGTAACCAAAATGCATAGGACTCAATCTCTTCACTGCAACACCAGATAAGTAGATTTTATTCAAATTTAATTTTGAGACATGCTGAAAAGTCTTTCCCAGGACACTTTTAAAAGCTAAGCAGACATTAATTGTGCACTGGTCCAGGACTTGCAGTTGCTTGCTTCTGCCTGTCCTCTTGCAGATTGGTTGCAGTGGAAGTCCTGGTGTGGAGCTAGTAACCACAGGAGATCAATAAGCATCATATGAGGTACATGCCTACCTTTGGTGTACCTTTCAGTTAATATCAGAGGGCTCAATCTTTTTCTCATTGCAGTTAAAGAGAATCTGTAAAGCATATAAGTTAAAGGAATGTCCGTCATTTTAGTTTTGGTATATTAACTTATCCTGTCAGTTATTTAGGTCATTCTTTTGTTTTTTATGAGTTTAACGAATACGACTACAATTTTCATTTACAGTAATGTTTTCTACTTATTTTTGTGTTTTAAACAAGTTCATTGCATGGATTTAATTACTTCCCTGTGTAATAACTGAAGCCCTGAATTGCACAAATGGGAGGCAGAAAATGAAAATATCTGTAAACAAAATGGATAAAACATGCACAGACAGAGCAAGGCCAAAAAATATAGTGTGGTTTTTTTTTCTTTTTCTTTTTTTTTTTTTTTAAACTGCTGAAGACAAGCCTTGAGAAGAACAACCAGCGTTGTTTTGCATGGTATGTGGGGAATGGATAAAATAAACAGTCCCTCTGCTCTGTAGACAAACTTGTTTCTCAGATGTGAAAAATTCATCACATATTAGTATTTAATATTCTCAGAGTGTTAGAATAAATCTCAGAATGGCTTGTTTCTAGAAGCTTTTGTTAGCTAATGTTGTCTGGGCCAAATTTGCATACATGCAATCGAAAGATGTGGCAGAAAATTCTGGTATTTCATGCCTTCCTATGTATTTTTCTCTAAAAAAAAAAAGCACTTATTAATAAATGCTAGGAATCAGTATAGGTCCAATAATACTTAGCACTAACTGCAAATTGCTTTACAACACTTGATTCCTGTAACGATTCTGGGAGGAAAGAGACCAAAGCATTTGACAGGCAAGCTCCGATGAATCTAGGTAGTGGCTTGAGACATAGCTATTCTCAGCTGTCTGCTCTTGCCTTCTGGTTAAGATAACCATCTCCAAAGCAAGTCATGTTGGCATGTGCCTGCGGTGTAGGTAACCACTGAATCACAGTGACGCTTCCACTGTTTCTACTAAATGTATGAATCTCACTTAAAGAATTGGGGAGATAGTGTCTTCAGCTCTTGCAATTAATTGTTTCTAGGGGAAGTCATGGGACTAAATAATTTTGAACACAAGCTTTAGCACAACAGTTTCTTTTTAAGCTTCATTAGCATCATGACAAATCATTGTACTAGGGGTGAACGTATCTGTTTAATTTGGGAATGAAAATTGCATTTAAAAATAGTTGAGTGGCACCTGGGAAGTCTGTCTCGGGTTTTTAATTTCAGGATAATAATTGCAGAATTAATGGAAGATATGAACCTCACGGGAGTGGTAGAAAGTAATACACTTACAGTAAATTTTGAATTAAAATTACGAACCTGAAGAATGTGTGTGAATACATTCATAAATTTTACCTTACATATTTATGTATTTTCTGTTGTCAGATGAAACAGAAAATTTGTATGTCATCTTTTTACTGACAACCCAAACTATATTTTTCCACTGAAATATAAAAAAATCACCAAACCCCCTAGCAGCTAATGCTATAACAACTCCCAGTGAACCTGGAGACCCTAGTAACATAAAAACTTGCTTTGACACTGCTATGTTATTTTTTTATAGCACGATATACTGAGATAATGACTTGGTGATTGTTAATAACAAAACTGAATTGTCAGTTGTGCTGGATTGTATTCTTCCTCTGCATTACTACTGTTAGAAGGCTGATGCAGCCTAAGAGAGGAGCTGTAGATGTTCTGTCATTGTTTCTATTTTCTCTTTTAATATTTAGATCGTTGCACTTGGGAGCTTTGCTGAATGCACAACATGTTGTTTGATAAAGGGTCCCAAATTAGTTACTAATTTGTGTTGGTCCTTCATTTATGGTTGAAGACATTGATTTTTCCATGTTCAATACTGAACTTCCGACTGGAAGTTTCTCCCACTGAAATGCAAATGTCTCTACAATATGCTGTTATTAATATTCCCTAGAATGCTTGTAAACTGGGTTAAGGTGTAAATGCAGAAATCAGATTTTTAAAGTACATTTGCTTTTTTTTTTTTTTAAAAAAGGTTTTCACATATGTGGAAGGGTTGTTTTTATTTTTGCATGAAAATGCCAGTGTATACACACTTGCATTTTGTTTCTGAAATGTTTAAGTTGATATAATTAGAAAACATTAAAACTGGTTGAAATGAGACAGGGTGAGCTTTTCTTTCTTCACATTGGATTTTCAGCCCTCATGGTGAACTCAGAGCTTATTTTAGATGTGCTTATTTTAAACACGAGCCACTAAAAGACTGGAAAGGTAACAGGCTGCAAAGTGGTCGTAATTTGGTGTGATCTTTAACCTGGTTGAAATTCAGTTAGGCTTACAAATATTTATATATGAGAATCCTATGTAGTTTCTTGTCTATATTACAGAAATACTGCTGTTGAAGTGGTGATGGAATAATTTTTTGGATTAAGAAAGCGTTACAGATCATAATAACAACGCATAGTGAATTGTAGATACAATATCTACCTATAATTAAAATTTGAAATTATCTTTTGATACCTGAACTGATTTGTTAGGTAGCTGCTGCTAGATTTTCTAGATTTTGCTGCTAGACACTGTTTCTAGATTTCCTGTGAGTTCTGCACATCACCTGAATAATAACCCTGAGGAAATACTTTTTTTTTTTTAAACAAAGCAAATATTATTCTTTAAAACAAATAAGAAATCATTAGGGCACCCTGATTTGTCTGTTCTGCAGGATTTTGAGTTTGCAGTTGCTATTGTAGGATCATATCTGCATGCAAGTGTTTGTTTTGGTGCACAAGCCACGCTCATGTTTTATGGTTTTGCTTGTCTGGAGGAAGCCTCAATACTGTTTCCTGCCCAGGACTGGGGAATTGTGAGAGCTGGTTCAGGTGAGAAGCGCTAGCAATGCAACTGCATCTCTGCAGCAAGTTGTCCCCTCAGGGATTTTGCACCGGGTACCCCCCTTAGCAGCCAGTGTGCATAAAATGCAGTTTCTAATTTCTCTCTAGTGTTGTGATGCTGTACTGTTTGTAATCATGTAAATACGAGCTTTTTTTTTAATACATAAATGGAGCAAGATTTTCTTGCAGTACCAATGTCAGTCAGCTTTTTTAAATGTCATTTTATATGTTGAACACTTAAAACATTTTGATACATGCACTGAAATCCCAACTTGAGGAATAATGAAGAGATTAAAAAGCTAGATTTGCTAATACAGATGAATTGCCCTGCTGCAAATAAAAATGACTCGTTTGAATTAATCTGTGCCACAGCAATCTCTTCTGTAGAGAAAACTTGTGCATTTAAACATAGTTGATTCTCGAAAGTACTCATGCTTTTTCTAAGACTGAAATTAATTCCCAAATTGTTAATTCTGTGAGGGATTGTAAAGTGGTAGGAATTTATTAACCCATTGTCATTTATGCCAAACGTTTTAAAAGCACCACTGGGCAGTATCGATACAACATGCATTTATGTGTTCCACGTAATACTGCTTCATCAGGATTAGTAGGAAAGGCACCCTAGGCAGATATTAGCCACTGTGGCTTTAATGGGAAAATACTGATAATTTACCTCCTTATTTTGCATGTCTAGAGCTTTACAGATATTCTCTTGTCGGAATTCATCAGTTTATCACATATTTTTGAACAACACTTAAGTTGTTTCCCCTTTGGTTCCAGGTTTTTTGTGCGGCATGCTGTAGCCTAAAGTGCAAGTTGCTGTACATGGATCGGAAGGAGGCTAGAGTGTGTGTAATCTGCCATTCAGTACTAATGAATGGTAAGTGGAAAGAAAATCTGTGATGCGGCGCTTCACTGGCTTTGTGTTGAGCTGCAGTGATGATATTTAAAAAAAAAAATCAAAATACTTTATTTGTATGGGTAAGTATGCTAAAACAACAAAGGCGCTTGAGAGATCAGCATGGAATAGCTGTGGAGCGTGGGGATTCCTAAACTAAATATGATTAACAGAACGCAAAAACTGGTAAGGTTACGATGAGTTTGGAAGCTTTCATTTGTGAGTGCTATACCAGGACTACAGAAACTATGATTTTTGGTGGTTTTTGGTTTTAATTCAGGAGCCTGCTCTCTGTCCTTTGATGCCTGAGTGGATAACCTATTACACTTTTGTATGGGATGCCAAAGAGAAGAGTAACGCAGTCGTGCCTCTTGTAGATTATGCACTATAAGAAATTGGGAAAGTAGTATTTATCCACAAATTAATCCAACTCTTCTTCCTCCTTAACTCCTTGGTGCTAGCATAGGAGGTCTTGTCTAAAAACCTATCCACAGATGTGGACAATTGAGTTTGGATTATTGCTTTGGGCATGTTACTGGAGACTCTGTCAAACCCAGAATGGTGCTGTGGCTAAAAGCCTGATGTGAACATGGGACATATGAGAGAGGGCACAAGTAATTACGAAGTTAACAAGTATAACAAACAAGAAGTTATATAACCTCTGCTTGGTGTAAGGAAAGACGGTGTTTGGTTTTGACCAAAGGCCCGTGGAATCTATTTTGTATTTTGTCCTTTATAGTATTAACACTTTAGATATGTGGTACAAATATGGGCAAACACAGAGTATTCTTCCCACTATATCTTGAGGCTTCTGAAAATTTCAAGAACTCCCTGAGCTGGCAGTTACCTTTGGGTGATTATGCTGTCCAATTGACTTATTTCCATGATGCTGCGACAGCTGTTGCTGAAAGACTCGATGTTCAGTTTTTATGTCTTGAATTGAGAAGGTAGAAAAATTGGATTAGGTTGAGAGAGGATCCATGTGAGTGCTTAAATCATGAGAAAACCTGTCTCATCATGAGAAATGCCAGGCGCTCTGTCTTTGGTTTATTAATGGAAAGGTGAATAGGTGACTTGATCTTGGAGTATATATATCTGGATAACTGAAACTTGATGACAGAATTTACTTCAATTGTAGAGGAAGGTCTGACAGGCACACTCTAACATGTAGCAGGTAGAATGAGAAATTCAGACAAATTCATGTTCTAAATGCAAACTTTTAACCGTTAGGATAACTAACTATCCCGATAACTATTGAACAGTTGTCATTGAATCTCCATTTCTGCAAATGATTAGTTAAACTTTGCAGACTTTGATAAAAGATTGCTGCTGTAGTTTTAACCAAGAATTAGTTAGGAAAATTCTGTTTTACGTCAGTGTTCAGACAAGGTAATTTTGATGGTATCTTTACATGTTACTGTGTAGTAGATTATTTGGGCTGCTGTTTTCAGAAAGATCTGTTAATTTGTTGAACATCTAACTAAACTTAGAAGCTCATAGCTTTATTTTTTCTCCAAGGAAGTCAGTATTACGCAGGTTCAGTTGAAAGTAACTGAGTGCTTAGTCTTGAGATAAGTTTCTGTTATTAAACAGAAATAATTTTCTGTTTCAAAAAGATTTAAGATTGATCAGTGTGCAGTGGTAGGTTTTAATTATTAATAATTCTTTACTGTTGGCCAAATGTAAGGTGACAGGAAATTGTAGGTTGTAATATCTAGAAATTAAAACCAAGTCCTGATGATGATGTTGAAGGGCTGCTAAAATGTTACAGTTTGAGATGGAGAAATTAGCACATTTCAAGGTGTACAAGAACAAGGAATTACACATACACCTGCAAAAGACAGCTGGCTCCTTTTGGTGGTGAGTAAGATTTGTTTTCATCTGGAGGAAGGGAAGAATCTGAAAATATTTCAGTTGAAACCAGAAGTGTTCTTGTAAAAAGGCATAATAAAATTGATTATATTATAATGATTTCCTTTTAAAAGCCTTTCTGTTCTGTTGCCAGGACAGATACACATTAATGGCAGCAAACAGTGACACCACTGCTTGGTTTATTATAGGGAGAGTGCTGCCTGCATACTTAGGTGTACTTGCCCTGGGCTACCTCTCTGTTGCTATCCCTGCTGCAGTGCTTTGTGATGATGGTTTTGGTTACTGGTTAGTTAACCTGTAGCCTGATCATATCTGATCCCTCCTGATCCTTGCAGTTTCTTTGTCAGTACAGTTGGTTTTTTTTTTTCCACTCAGTGCAGCAGGTTAAGCGTTAATCTTTGCACAGTCTTGGAATCGGGGGTAGGAATCGCACTTTAAAAATAGTTATTTCATTTGATTGCTCGGTATCTGGTTTGTGTTTCACTGGGGTGTGGGGGGATGGTTTTATGTTTTCTGGCACTTTTCTATGGCCAGGCTATGTGTTTAGTAAGTTTCCAATGCTATTTTTACTGTATTTTCAATTGGTGAGTTGGCACTTTGCTTGATTTAGAGAAGACTTTAAAAATGTTCTTTACCATGCTAAGACTTTTCTAATAAAGGGATCCTAGAGATGTAACTTTTCTTTGTGCATTTTTAACACTTCCTTCTTTCAGGACATATACTCTAAATGAATACAGAATTGCTGTTAAAAAATACTTCCATTTAATTAATCTTCTCAAATGGAAATGTCAATACCTTTTCCATTGGCAGGCATTTCACTCTATTGGTTTTGCAGGTTGATGGGAGGAAGCAGGAGGGGTTTATGTTCTGTTGTGTTCTGTTTGGGTTTTTTTGGTCTTGTTATTTTCACCTTGTTTTTTCTGACAATTCATAGCCAAAGGAACCCGAAGATGTACATGATTTATTCAGGCTTTTTAGCTGCTCTGAGAGCTTAGGTGGCATGATACTTATGCCCGACTAGAGGAATGCATTTATTTGCAACATACTAATATGGTTGAAGGTGCAAGCACACATAGGAATTTTCTGGTACCTTGCATAGCTAGGTACCTGTAAGCCTTCCTTACAGATGAAAAAGAAGTAGTACTGTGGAGATACAGTCTGTTTCACTAGCTAGAGGAGAGATTTCCCTGTGATGGATGTTGTTGACAAAGTAGTTTTATGTGTAATTGTTTGGACAATTGAATTAAGGCTCAAGTCGTGCCTTCAGAATTAACAGCATAAGGGTTTTTTTAATAGTTAAGAATATAAATTGTTGATCTGTACTGGTCTGCCCTGGATATAAAGAAATGCAAGGTGCTTTTTCTCATATACAAAAGATAAACCTGCTCAAGTGTCCTGTAGGTTATAAAACATTTGTAATAGAAATGACCATCTGTCCATACAGTGTGATAAACGTACATACATATAAAAGGATTGAGAGTTTTCAGTTAAATCTTTGAAAAGGAAACAAAATGAAGCATGAGGAACTAAGCATCATTCAGGTCAAAGTATATTGTTACAATTTTCAGAAAATATTTCTATATGAACTGATATTTTTATTGCACAGGACTAGTGCCGTTTCTCCTCCCGCTATGCATTTTCTTGCTTAATTACAGTCTCCTGGGCTTTTAAGTAAAGTAAGAGAGAGAGTCTTTGGAAGGTGACAGGGTCCATACTTACTGTAGCTCAGAACTTAACACAGTGTTTTGGACTGTTAGATACCTTCCTCTGTGCTCATGTTTCTTGTTCTTTATTTGCTTTAGCTCAAGCCTGGGAGAACATGATGAGTGCCTCAAGCCAGAGTCCTAACCCTAACAATCCCGCTGAATACTGTTCTACTATCCCTCCTTTGCAGCAGGCTCAGGCCTCGGGCGCCCTGAGCTCTCCGCCTCCCACTGTCATGGTACCTGTGGGAGTTTTAAAGCATCCTGGAGCAGAAGGTAAGAGTACTTCTTTTTTCTTTCAATTTACCTGTAGTAAGAATTTGGAAAGAATATCTGCACTTCATCTATTCCAAATACTGTAGCTAATGCCAGTTGTGATATTCCTGCCCTCAGTAGGGACATCAGGTTTTTAAGGACGAGTAAACTTTTCTCAGCAGATGTGTTTATACATGATGCTGCCATGGGAAATGCACTAGATGATGTCTTAAGTCCCTTCCAGTCCACATTTCTCTCTTTATTAATTTTTTCAGTTTTGCTCTTCTGTACTCAAATTTTCCAGTCAATGTTGCTGTGACATTTTAAATCCTATTTTTTTAATGTTTTCTCTAGTGGCTCAACCTAGAGAACAAAGGCGTGTTTGGTTTGCTGATGGGATATTACCCAATGGAGAAGTTGCCGATGCAGCAAAACTGACAGTGGCTGGGACAACTTCCACAGGAACCTTAGCAGTGTCGCATGATCCATCAAAGCCCGTGACCAACAACACTTTATCAGCAGAAGTAAGGAAGCGTTATGCTATTCACCACTCAAAATAACATGCTAGCTTTGGTTGTGAGTAGTATATTAGCTTCTGTGGTGATTTCAGTAAGACTGATCCAGGAAATCTGTTGAGGCTTGTCTTAGTATGTTGTATAGCAAGTGTCCTAACTTACTTTAATGTTTGCAGAGTGCTGAAACAACCATATATTTTGAACTGAAATGAACTATTATGGGGCAGAGCACTAAGCAATGTTTGAAGTCTGTGTGCTAGGTGGCTTCCAAGTGTTTGGCTGTACAGCCTGTGTATGAAGGATATTTGTGTAATGCATGTTTTAAAGAAGCTGAGTCATGGTCAGTAAGGAGTTTGAAACAATAACATTGTCATAGCACAAAGCAGAAAAATACTTTGTTTGACACTTCTCATAAAATGATGTATGCAGGAAAGTGCAGATATAATCTAACAATGTTAAATCCACCATACCGCATGTGAGTGGAATTGAGACTTTGCAAAAAGTTCAGACGGGCATAGGTGCATTTAGATTTTGAAAAAAAAAAAAAAAAACAGAGAAGGGAGATGCAGTCTCTGTCTAAGCAGGCTTTTTAGTAACAGTTCACATACAGGAGTCATCACATGATCATCTGTTGTTAAAGAGCCAAATTACTTGGTGCTTCTGGTTCTCCAGCAGACACAGACTCCTTCACCTACATCTAGTAATCTAGTCAGCCAGCTCTTACATTTTATTGTTATTACTTTTGTAATGTTGTCCTTTTTTGTTGTTTGCTTCTTGTAGACTGATAATGCTTCTGTATTCTCGGGAAATATAACTCAGGTTGGCAGTCCTGTTGGCAGTGCAATGAATCTAATTCCTGAAGATGGTCTTCCTCCAATTCTCATCTCCACTGGAGTAAAAGGAGGTGAGAGTATTTGGCAGCTAGCTTTTATGCTTACCAGTTGCAATTAACCTAATAGTTACTGTGTTTATTTGAAAAATAAGATGCTGGCAATATGCTGAGTATTTGAAGAAATTCACAGTAAGAACTCATGGCTAATGTTGTGACACTCCTTATTAGCATCTAGGAAGAACCCCATCTTGCGATGAAATTACTGTAAGAAGTAAAACACAAAGCAAAAAGAAAATTAACTTCAGTCCAGAAATATGTGCTAATTTCTTCACTGATGGGACTGTGGGGAATGTTTCACACAGAGATACATTTTAATTAGCCTTATGAATATTCATGTCTCCCTTCTCTGAAATTCTCTTGGAACATCCGCTCTGTCTGAGGCATCCCCAAGCACTGCATTCAACAGCACTATTGCACATCTTGGCCCACGGTGAAGCTTTTAGTAATTGTGATGTCCCCTTCCAGAGTATCCAAATGGAGGAGGATTCAGAAAATTAAAAACTAATTTTTAAAAGATTAAAAAGATGTATATATTTGTTTGTCTGACAGTTGCTTTCCACAGTCTGATTCATGACATCCTTTAATACATTCCTGGGATTAACTTATTTTTTCATCTTTGATTTTTTAATTCCTATTAAATATTTTGCTGATACAGTGCATTTCTAATGTTAAGCTGGAAGTAACCTTTTATTGCAGGATAGTGTCAAAACCAAAATGTGAGCAGCATTTAATATCAAAACAAATCTGTTCCATTCTGTGTTAGCTGTTCATATGGGTGCCTGATTATTCAGTCTCCTCCACAAAAAAGGAGTGATACTACAGTATACTTTTCAGCTTTTATTTACATAACCTAACATAAATCGTATTTTGTAAGCTAAGTTGATGTTGTTTCATATGCTGTCACATACTGCATTTTCTTTGCAGCATTTTACTTCTGATATTCTGATTTGATTTAAAAAGATTCCAAAAACATTTTTCACATTAGAAGGCAAAATTACCTATCTTTGTAGGTAATTTTAGCTAGAAAGGTAATACATTTCTTTCAAAATCTGTTTTCATCAGTGTAACTATTTTTTGTTAAAGCTCAAATGCATAGTAGATTATAATCACATGTATGAAAAATTTTAATTTGCTAGTCATCTGGGTCTAACCATAGAGGGACACTACAGACGTCTTTGAAGTTTCATGTTGGAATCCATTTTACACTGGATTTAGATCTTCTATGATTTATAAAAAACGTTGTTTTATATAGTGTTCCTCTTTTTGTTATCTTCCTAGTAGCTAATGCACAGAAAGTGTTATGTGATGTAGGGATAGACCATGTGTTGGTGTTTGTAGTCCAGGACTGATGCTCTTGTGCTTTACTGTGATACAAATAACAATTGTTAACTTCTTTGTCATTTGGGATTTCAGTTGACACCATGACTCATTTCTTAATTTGATTTTCATTTTCTCCTCCAGTCAATACCGAAAAAAAGTTGATTTATGAAATAAGCTTCACTTTTCTAAAGCATGGACAGGGTTTATGCACGTAAATGCTATTGAAGTTTGAAAACACCAGCCTAGGAAACAATCAATCAAACCAGCAATACTTAAATAAGTTTTTTTTTAAAAGGTGAAAAAAGCAAAAAACATCAGAATCGGGTTATCTGATTATAATGTAGAGTACTGTACCAGTAAGTTAAGGACTTCACTGTGTGTTTACTTGTTTCTTTCATAGACTATGCTGTAGAAGAGAGACCTTCTCAGATCTCTGTCATGCAGCAGCTGGAGGATGGTGGCCCTGACCCTCTTGTATTTGTTTTAAATGCTAATTTGCTGTCCATGGTAAAAATAGTAAATTGTAAGTTTTTATTATTAAATAAGGCTTGGGGTATGAGAGGGGAAATGTTATATATATTATTAGTAGGAACAGCAGCATTTTTATTTGGTAGGATAGTCTTTGAAAATGTGCGTGGATTAAAAACTTTGTGCTTAGCCATATTAAGTTAAATTACAAAAGGCTGTTTTCCAGTGATTTAGACATCAATACAGATAATTTTATGTAGAAAATATAAACTAGACTGATAGAGCCTCCAGTCTCAGGTTTGGAAATCACTGTCTCCTGTCCAACTTGGTAGGGCAAGGTATTTTATCACTCGTTCTTCCTTTGGTTGCTTAACTCATTTCCCTGTCATCGCATTCTGGAAAAAGCAGATAGGATCCTGTAGTAAAACGCAGGTTCCGTTCCACTGTGCACCTCTTCTATCCTTTTCTATACTGTGTGTGCATGTGTGTGTGTACGTGTGCTGAGGGAGGGAGGAATGAACGGGGAGGCATACAGATGGATTCTAATGTTAGTACCTCAGTTGATCTCTACTGGATAAGAAAACATTATCTGAGAAATTGAGAAGGACAGTTTTGCAGTAAAATGTTTTGGTTCTGTGAAAAGTTTGTACAATAAATTAAGATGTTGTTTATAAACTTTTCAGCATCTGGTTAGATAGCAGTACAATTTTTTATGTATATATAAATATGTCATTAGTATGCATATTATATACATATTAGACAAAAGATTTTATTTCAATAACTTAGTATTCTCAACAAATGAATTGTAAAGCTTAGAGTATGTGTCATCACTGACATTCATGTGAAGCACAACAACACAGTGACGTCTCATGAAAACACCTGACATCCAGCTATCCATCTTAAGAGAGAGATATCACTGTCTGGTTTAGCTGTCAGGATCATGATACGCACAGCCAACAGCCTGGCCTTTTCCCAGGTTTCTTCATTCCCATTTAAATCCTGTCCTTTAATTTGGATACCCAAACTGCTAAAAGTCTGCTCTGTGATGTTAATCCCAAGATCTGACTGGGAGCTGTAATGCTCTGGCTCTTCCTTAGCTGTAAACTGGGAATTACTGAGCTGCTTTTATTTTGGATGTGCTTGCTTGCAAGGTAACAGATTTAGAGCCTAATTTGTCTGTGTGACAGATATCACAACTAAACATGCTGTAAAACTGATTGTTGAAAGAGCTATCTTCCTGTAGTGAAATTTAGGCATATTTTATGAAATGCTGACCTTCTGTTCTGATACATGTGTTCCTCTCTGCAGATGTGAACAGGAAGTGCTGGTGTTTCACTACAAAAGGCATGCATGCAGTGGGGCAGTCAGAGATAGTCATTCTCTTGCAGTGTTTGCCTGATGAGAAATGTTTGCCTAAGGATATCTTTAACCATTTTGTGCAACTTTACCGGGATGCCTTAGCAGGTAGGAATGCTTTCTGTTAAAAATGGTTTGAATAGATGATCGTACTGGGTCAGATACTCACATTTTTGTCATTTAGCAAATGTCTATTTTTGTATAAAAGAATATAAAAAGAGAATAAGGCTCAAAGCTGATAGGGGGGTGAGTTGTTCTTGGTTATTAGTATCCAGTGTTATATTCGTCTCACCAAATAAAAGTATTAATGAGGTGCTGGTAACCTGGGGAGCTGCTCCAAAGATCTTCCAGCCTTTGCGTGCCAGCAGAACAAAGAAGTTTGGGCTATAAAGGCCATGCATAGACTATTACAGCAGTGGAGCAGGAGGACTTTTGCCTGTGACAACTTTGTCTTCAGCAGCCATTGCTGAATGTCTGCTCTGGCTGCTTCTGCTAGGTGTTGGGGTAAGAATTTGAATACGGCTAACATATCTGAAATTAGTACTGTTCTTCATTTAGCAATAAGCGTAGTAGGATATTCAGCAGGGCTCATGGGTACACTCATGACATTGCTTCTAATAATTTTAATTTTTTTTCAGCTTGAAGTCAGGGTAGCTTTTTTAAAGATACAGAAAGAAAATTTTGAGAATCCTTGTGGATAGTATGTTAAATATCACCAAACCAGGTAGTTCAGAAATTTGATTCCCACAGTGTGTGTATCTATTGCCACATTATGGAAATACTATTTATATTATAAAGTAATACAAATATATATGTATTTGTATGCCTGGAATGAATTGTAGGGCATTGCAGAAATTATCCCTGAATTTTGAATTTTAGTATCTCAATTGCAAGATTGTATTATGTAAACCTTTACACATTTTACATTTGCTAAGTAAATGGGCTTCCACTTTTAGCTATTGTTGGACTTTAGAATTCAAAAATTATTGTATAAGGAAAATGCAAGTATTTGGTTCCATTGATTAGAAAATAAAGCTAGTTTTCCAGAGGTGAAATTGGGTCACATTAAGGTTGTATACTGAAAATACATTTACGAAGGGTTCTGCATATAATTTGCAATGCCTTTGGAGTGACTGAATCCAACACTTTAATAAAATAATGAAAAAGATCTTTGTTTCCTAAAATGTCTTGATATAACAAAGGTCAGCTTGTCCAGAGAGGTTCCCAGGTTCAGAATATACTATTATCACATGTCATAATGGATCTCATGTACACTGGAAACAAATACCTTTCCAAACCGCACTTCATTTGCAATGTTTTATCTTCTAATTATGATGTTATTCAGAGGGGGATAGATACGAAAAATTGCGTGTATGTGTGTGTATAGACGTATATTGCAGATATAAATCCAGCTTGGTGTGTATACTGCAGTGAAGTTCTGTATAATTACACTACAGAAATACATAATTTATAACTCCTACATAATGTATGTGGAATTCTTTTTTTAGTGCTCTAGTGGTAGTAATTTGATATCCTACAATTGCACTGGTGCACTGGAGCTGCTTACTATTGTACAATTCTTAATCAGAAACCAACTTTCACTGTTTAAGAATTCCACTGTGTAATGTTCTTTTGGTAGGATTTACGCCGTGCTGTATTTCAGACATGTAGTAGAAGTAGATGGACACCTTGAGTTGCTATATAATACCAACCGCACTAAAGTTTTTGTAGAACATAGCACCTTCATAAATTCCCATAGCATTTTGTAATGCACGCTGTCAATATCCATCCTTTTTTCTTTCCAAGTCATGCGTGTTTGAGACTGAGAAGAATATATTAGCATATTTGCAACTCTGGCTCTTTTAAACGTTATTCAGCCAGAGAGACAGGCTGTGGTGCTGTGGGGGTTTCAGTTTGGTGGTTGTAATCCCTTGGAAGTGGTTATCAGTTTTCATGGCTGATGGAGCCATACTTCCAAAGTTGTTCATTTCAGAGGTACTGCACCTCTCCTGGCGATTAGATGGTAGACATTTAGAGTAAACGAGAATTCCCATTAGAAGTTAGAGACTATTTAAAACCCTGCCTCACAGTTTCATTTTTCGTTATGTAATATATTGGTTTAAATTTATTTTGCCATCAGGAAACTGAAATAAATTCTGTGGACATTTTTTATTTATCTCCTGTAGTAAATGTTTTCTTAAAAACAGTCATAAAGTAAAAAGACATCGTATTTTTTACTGAAGTGGAAACAAGAACGACGTTTAGTGATGTTGATTTTGTTTTGGAGTGATTTTGGGTTTTTTGTTTTTGTTTTCAGCTGAAAAATACAGCATTCCCCTTTTGTTTAATTAAAGCCCATATCTATAGCGATTTTTATTTTCACGAGTCACATTTATTTACTAGCTCTTCTTGCTCGAGTTTTACTTCTGCATTCAAGCCTAGAAGCACAAACTTGTATGTACTCATGCCTATTCCCAGATGTTTCTGCTTTCCTCAGAGGATAACTTGTTTCTTGAGGCCGAGTCCTGTCCTCTGTTGCTCTCAGGTATTGCTCTCAGCTGTTTGCAGAGTATGGCTGTAGCATGTGCAAGTAGCGCCAGCGGAGCCCAGGCCTCAGACCTGCAGGCAGGAGCACTTAGTCTGTATATTCAATGCTTTGCAGTTTGTCCTTCAGGTTCATCTCCTATTTCAGCATGGATAAGATGTCAGTCTGGTGCAGCACTGCCCTGAACCTTCATTAGTTTTCTTACGGGAAGTCCTCAACCTCAAGCTATGGTCTGGTGTTAGGATTTTATAATTGTAAAACAATGGAGAGATTTTGAAGGAAAAATGGCATTTTTCACTATAGGTTGTATGCATATGAGTTATAATAAATTGTAAAGTTGTTAACTAAGGCAAGTATTAATTGCTGTTCAGTTTCCATCACTTTAGTTTTCCTCTGGCCCCTCTGTCATGAAGCTCCCTGCTGTGTTGCTTTTCTTGTTTTGAAAGTGAAAGCTAATGATTTCTGTTGTGGTGGTAGTAGTTTTACTGTTGTAGTAGTAATCCCATGATTATCCTTGTCTGTTGGCTATAAGCCTGGCAGGAGGTCTAGTGAATGGAAAAATGAGAACTACTGTCAGTCTGAATGGGTACTTTGAAGCAGTTGGATGTGTTAATACAGAGCTGCCAGATATGCCCTAGTACGTCAACAATAAATGCTACTGTTACTTTTGTAGTGAAAATGCAAATCTGGCAACTGCTTGAAATGGCTTTGCGATTGCTCTGGTTTGGGGGATATTCTGGGTGACAGTGGATCTGTCCCAGTCACAGTTTTGTGTATTTTTAAGCCCGCCTGGTTTTAATTAAATAAAGTGGTAGCTAATACAGAGTAGATCTATAAAGAAGCCCATGTAGATGTTCTGAACAGAGAACAGGTTAACTGAGTGAATAATACACCCCTGCAAGTGTAACGTGGAAAGATGGGTACAAAATCAAACATCGTATAAGGTGTGAGAGTGATTGTTTGGAAGACTGCCACAGACTAGTCTGAGGAAGTTTTGGATGCTGGTAAGTGCTACTCACAGTGATAGTAAAAGTGAAGCATTATGTCCCTTGCCAATAAGAGTAAGTTCTTTCCAAGTTACTTGCTGATGTGTTTCAATAAAAAGATGCTGAGTATGGTCAGAACTTTGAATGTTGAATTTCATATGATTTTTCTCAATGTTGTCATCTGCTACAGATGTGTTATGCCATCAAGTTACATTCACGGTCTTGTCTCTTTGTGGCTTTTGGTGTGGTAGTGACTGGGTTTGTATTGCTTTTCCAAAGGGTATGTGCTCATTTGCTCTTGAAGAAAATCCATGTGGCAAGATTGTTCCCAGGTGAATATTGCTTTGCATCTCTTGCTACAGAACTGGGATGCTTGGCTTTTCAGGATGCTGGCATGGTGTTTGGTACTTGGCAGTTCTTGGTTGTTATTGATGGCAGTGAAATGAGGCCGGACAGATGCAGCTAACTTCCCCAGGCCATATATGTATGCCTTCCCTGAGACTGGGTGCTAATACTAGCTTTTTGACCTGGGATTAAGCAAAAGGTATGAAGCATACATTAGGAATTTAACCTCACTGTTTTTAGTAAAAGCACCTAACTGGCTTCATATTGCCCACATATTGAGGGCAATAAACAAATATAGGAATCTTTTTTTCTTTACCTTTCCTGGTATAAACTATTTTATTTGAGTCCAGAAGGGATTGCCAAACTGATATGCAAAGTACATTGTTCATCAGAGGAAGATACCAAGTGAAGAATTCAAAACAGCATGGATCATGACTGAAGAGAAAGTCACGTCAGTGGATAAAAGCATTTTTTTTTAAAGGACTTTATAACTGCTTAGGATTTAAAGTCAAGGGTAACCCAGCTAATGAGAAGAGAATAAGTACTGACCTCCCGCAGAGCTGCTTTAGATGCACCATGCACACTTAAGGTACTTCCTAAATAATGTCAATTGTCTGTGGTCAGGTGCTGAAACTTAATATAAGGAAAGGCGCCTTTCTGTTCACTCTGAGATTACCTCTTTAGAAAGGAAGTTGTGATATTTTGTAAATTAAATTACATGCTTTTGAGAAGGATAGCTTTTTTCCAAGTTTTTTCTGACAGCTACACTTTCTCTACAAGCTTCTGAAACACAGTTCTATGCTTAAAATGTGTAACGGTGCAGTGGGTTGGGTTTGATCATGTCAGGCTAGTAATAGCAACTTATCAGTGGGGCCTTGACTTGGAACCACCGAAAGGCTGACAACCCCTGGTCAGTGCAGAAATGTTTGTGGGACAAGCCCACAGCCCAAAGAGGCTTTTTGACTTGAGTTTGCTTTTTGAAAAGGGCACTAGGGAGGTGTGTAGGAAAACTCTTGCTTGATTCTTCCCATGCTGGCCATGTAGCAGGCTCTTGCATGCTCTTATAAATAATGAATTGCAGCACAACTACCTAATCCCAATAGTTTGTCCTCTTAATAGTGGTGACTTATTGGAGCTTGCACTGTGCGAGCTGCTTGTGTCAAAAGGAGTAATTTATAATGCTGTGGCTTATGGTAGCAAAGTGCTGAACAGCTGAGTTGCAGATTCCACTCTGAGGGTTTTTTTCATGTTTCTGTTGGCTGAAAAAATTCTTGTCAAGGCATCCCAAGCGTGTGAGCCTTGAAGCTCCATCTCCTGAAACGGAAAAAGTAAGTAGTCTTCCCCTTCTGCTGCAGCACTTGGCATCAGTCACAAGTGGAAATGTCTGATTGCTTTGTCATCCAAGTGGGCAGTACCGCATGTCTCAGAACTATACAGTATTGTACAGCTTCACTTTGCCTAGCCTCTTTCACGCAGAAAATGCTTCAGAAAAGGGTGCAGAATTCAATTCAGTTTAGCAGTTCATACACTTCATACATTTTGAGGTTAGCAAGGATTATTATGGTCATGTTGTTGGAACCGAGAACCTCACCAAGTAATTTTACTATCAGGCGTGTAGTTTCTATTTGGGTAAGAACAGATGGGAAGGGAAGAAGGAAGTATAAATGAAGAAGAGGAGATTAGTGAGGGTAGGTGGGAACTGCAAAAGCAAACAAGTGGAGTTGAGATAGAAAGGTGCCGGCAGCTATTTTAAATAAGTGACAACAGTTGATACATTGGTTTGCACTCACTAGCAAGATACCTGAATTGGTTTATTAGCGGTGTATTCACTGAGCAGGCAATAGTGTCACAGCACAGGCTGACAGAGAAATGCATTTGGACATGGGCAGGATCAATGATTTTCAGCAGCTGACAACATTTGATGTGACTCTGTTAATCATGTTAGTCCTTCAGTTTGACCAGTAGCTACTTTTCATCAAGTATGCTTAGCTGAGCATTACAGAAATTGTAGCCGCTATAACAGTTCTGGAATTTGATCTGGGTTGGTGGTGTCAGCTCTGTGTATCTGTAAAATAACAAATCAGCTTCACAGGATAGCGGCAAGCTACAAACGAGCTGCACCCTGCCATGGGCTGCTGAAGCCTGTTGCCTTTTAACAGAGAACTTGAGAGCTTAGTTTGTGCAGCACCTTGTAGGTACAGCAAAAAAAAAAAAAAAATTCCACTGAGGTGCCCACAAATTTGAATAGCAAGGAAACCCCTGAACTTATTTGTTAGTCGGAGTATAAACACAGCCTTTTGTTTACAGACCCGCCAGTAGCTGTATTTAAAGCTGGAGGTCCCAAGGTCATATGAAGGAAACAGTACTCGGTAGTGGTTGTGCCAAGGTGGACTGGAGGGATGCAGAGTAGCATGGCCACATCTCCAGAGTGAGGGCAGGAATAGCTGTATTATTGTCATGCTGGCGCTGGCTTGATGGAGAGCTGCTATGACTTGGGACTTTTATAGGGGTTCAGTGTAAAGGGCAGACTTGAAAAGACTCATTGGTTAACCTTTCTTTTGCTGGCCAGAACTGTACCTACTGTATTTATTTTTCCTGTGTTTGTAAATGCTTGTGTATGATTTTTAGGCTGTTTTGCAGTATAAAGATAGAGAAGGCTTAACTTGAAGATCATACTTGTATTACTGAGGACGTCAAAGTTGCACTTTTGTGACTCATGTTTTTACTTACTTAAAACCTAATGTTTATGTGTCTGTGTGTGTCTCCTGTGTATGAAAGGGAGAAACCCTCCAGTTACTGTCCAGTTGATGTGCATGTTGGAGATATGCACATCACTGCCTTGAGTTCAAATACAAACACTCCCATTATGAGGTGGTGGAGAAAGAGCAGAAACTCCTACTTAGCAGTCTCTCTGCCTGCAGGTGGGAAAGCGTGGGATTACTGCAGAAGCCCAGGAGGCCTGCATGAGTGCCTCAAACCCATGCGATTCCTCATAAGTGGTGTGATCAACCACACCGTGCTCTCTGAAATTACTTGTGATTTTCTTTGAGAGCAAATCAGTGCTATTAATATTCACATCTTCCTATGGAGAATTGTGATCAGCTGTTCTGTACATTATTTGCATACTGTTGTTGTCATTTGATAAAAGGAATCACACCATGGTTCTTTGCTTCAATGTTAAATGCTGTGTTGGATGCTATAATAATCTAATCAACATTCAGATTCATTCAGCCATTCCAGTGTAAACATTTTTGGAAATTAACAGCATCAAAGAATAAAAATGTGAGTAAAAATTAGTGATGTTTCTCCCCTGTGTCTCTCTCAGTTGCATTTTACATTAAGTGTACTAATTAAATAAACACTCTTTTGTGTAATTCTTAAAAATTACACAAAGATCCAGATCTTCAATACGTGTCTGAGTAGGCACCCCAGTGGTTTGCCTAAATGGAAGGACAACCAGTGGGCATTAGTTGTTTGACCAGATGCACATCTCTCCTTTAATCGCAGCTGGGTCTAAAAGTTTAGTTCAGTCAACAGCAGCTTCTGCAGTGGAAACCCCTTAAATATCTGGAAGACACTGAAAACAGGCTTTTTTTGGGTGCTTTTGTAGTGCTAGGGGGAGGTTGTGGAACCACTTGCTTAGCACCAATACTGGCCTGAGCTATCCTTCCTCTTCCCTGGCTATCCCCGGGCTGCATCATCCCCTCGATTACACTGCCTCTACTTGAAACAGGCAGATCTCCATGAAACAGGCAGATCACAGAAATGGTTGAGGCTAGCCTCCCTCCCTGCTCCCCCAGGAGAGGTGGTAGGTCTGTGGTTGTACATACTGTCCTGGTAACACTTGCAAGCATGGCTTAGTCAGTCAGGTGCAGCAATGAAGGTACGTGTGCGTGTTCCTACAAAACTGACTTCCTACCAGTGATAGTCACTGAGTATGTATCACCAAAGGTGGATCCACCGGAGATACCGTGGCTTTGGTGGCTGTACTCTACAGCAGTTATTCCATAACGGATTATGCACTTTTACACAGGAGGAGCCCCCATGTGCAGCAAATCATTGTTTCTTGTATGATTAATAGATGTTAGTGGTTCAGGAAGCAAAGTGAGTTTGATATGGATTTTTTTCTCTTCTGAAAAACTTTTAAAATTCTTGATATAGCTCTCAATCTAGTGAAATAATGAGCATTTTTGTTCATAGGTAATGTTGTTGGCAACCTGGGACACTCCTTTTTCAGCCAGAGCTTCCTTGGAAGCAAAGAACATGGAGGGTTCTTGTACATTGCAGCTACGTATCAGTCCCTACAAGACCTGGTGCTCCCAACCCCACCGTACTTATTTGGCATCCTCATTCAGAAATGGGAGACTCCCTGGGCTAAAGTGTTCCCCATTCGGCTGATGCTGAGACTTGGAGCTGAATACAGACGTAAGTAACTTGCATTCTTTTAGTTGCAGTTATTTCTGCAGGAGAATATATTCCGGTTTAGAGCACACACACCCAGCCCTAAATTGTTACCAGTCAAAGCCACACAAGCTTAAACAGGCAAGTAAAAATTATGTTTTATACCCACATTGTATCTAACTAACAGCACAGCAGTACTGAGGTTGTGATATGACCTACAGCCTTTTTACAACTGTACTAGTTGATCAGGGAGATTTTTGTGGAGACAAATCTAGTTCTGAGCAGCTGTTTGTAGTTCACTTAGTGACCTGAAATAGAGTTATGTGCAGAACAAGTCTGATTTAGCTGGTGTAGTTAGGACAAGGGAGAGCCTTTGAGATGTTAAGCTCTTTCCATGCTGAAATGAAAGAGCATTTGCTTTTAGGTTTTTAAAACCACACTCATTTTCCAGAGAATAATAACATGTGTGCAGGGGCAACTGACATGGCAATTTGTTGCAAAAATTCTGTTGCAATTAGTAACAAATAAGCTGGAGAGAGTGTGTCAGCTGAACAAAATCTTAGCAGTTAGCATGAAACTAGCATAAAGTTAGGATAAAATCTTTTTCAAGAGACACTTGCCATTGGTGGAGCAAAGAGATTATTGGAAGTCTGTCCACCATGATGGGCTAAAAATTTGCTGTCTTGCTCATCTGCTGTTTTAGTTGCGAAATTGGTAAATCTGAATGACTATGAAAATGGTCTGTTGTTAATTTTTTTTCAAAACTTTTTCAGAACTTTTTAACAAAATAAGTTTTACAATATGCTTTATAGGTATTTGTAAATTTAACTTGTGATGTTTAGGGAACATTCGGAATTTTTCATAAAATACCTATAGTTACTGGAGAGGAAAAAGAAAATCTTCATAATTTGCTTTCTGAGGATGAGGACTGCAGGTTAAACTTGTCCGAAGAAACATTAGTGTTAAAGGTGTGTAAGTTTTTGTGTGTATCCATGAGGTTTTTAAGTAGTGTATTTATTCCCATCAACGTTTAGAAAAACAAAGAAAGATGCTCATATTTTGGATGTGACATCTGTTTTTGAGCACAGAAACAAATGTTTTGATATTCACAGACGGAAGTACCTGCTCTGAGTAGATTGGGAATCTGGGGTTTGAATCACTTCTATAGCTGTGGTTTGGATTTAGGCATATTCACTTGTGTTGTGACAGCTGCGACTGCAGATTACTTCCTCAATCGCCTCTTGGAAGGGGCTGCATTTGTATCTCAGGTTTCCTTGGATACATCCTCTTTTCTGGTGGAATTGTCAGATTTTGGCCATTTGTCCAGTGCTGCTGAATGCACAGCAGGTCAGATGCAGGAGTCGCTTTGGGTTGCTCTATGTCCAGAAAACATCTGCAGATCAACCGTACAGATCAAACACAGGGAATTCAGTGCATCTGGGACGTAGCTGAGCTGCTGTATGCAGCCAGGGTGGCAGACACGGGAAATTCGACACTTCTTGGTGCCTCAGGACACTGTTCATGAGTTGGTCAGCTGTATGGTGCATGTATGGGAGCTGTGATGTTTTCCAGATATCACATCAGTGTGCAAAAGCTGGAGCTTATTTCTATCAGGAAATCCTGATTATGTTATTCAAACCTGCTAAGCGTTTTGCAGCCCCTTCTGACTACACTGGGAACTGTGAAAATGTGCAGCATTTGGGGAAATCAGCTGAGTGTTTGCCTGAGGATAGTTTAGGAACCTTCCTTCAAACATGCGTTTTGAAAACCTTGGCATTACATATTACTGCATGAGTCAAGTTTCAAGCACTGTTATGGCTTCTGCTGCAACATAATGTAATGTAGCCAGATCCATACACTACACTTTGAATTGCATCATAGATGTTTTACAAGTATGGCTAAGTCAGCCAAGGAATGCAGATATTTGGCATTGCTGACATACCATAAATGTGCTTTTAATTGTTTTTTATATACTCCTGTAGAGAATTTGCCATGTTCTTATGAAATCATGAAAACAGAAAATGAAATAATCTGTATTATCACTTCAATGTCACACGTCAGCTACAGAAGCCAAAGGCTTATGATGCTATAGTGGAGAGCAGCAGGATGGTCATGAAAAAGGAAGAAGCCATTTCCAAGAAGTAGCCTGAGAAAAGCATTTAGAAAGGTCGTTTTTGCAATCAGTGTCCAGATCACTAGGTTCAGTCTTGCAGTGTGGCACTTGTAAGCATTCCACATAATTCTTCTTACTGTTTCTAGCGTGGTGGGCAAGGAGCCATGACACATGTGTAAGGTGCATTATAATGTTAGACCCTTCTTCCCTTTTGCTTTTTAAACTCTGGTCTTCTTTCCAGTCTCTTCTTTTGCTGCTGCATGGCATATTCAACTGAGGAGATTGTATTTGAGTCTGTTTTTGCAGAATCTCAGTATGTAAATTTAAATCTGACCTTTTCTGTTTTATTTTTTCCTAGTTTATCCATGCCCACTTTTTAGTGTCAGATTTCGTAAGCCTTTGTTTGGAGAGACTGGACACACGATTATGAACCTTCTTGCAGTAAGTGTTGAGACTGAGTTTGCATGGATAAATGTGGGGAGAACCGTACTCCTGTTGCACGTAGTAGCTGGCATGCTTAGAAGATGACAAAGGAAATAGTGGGCATTTGGGTGAATTTACCTGCTGTTACTTGGATGTTAGCTTTCAGCAACATAGTGAATTCTAAAAAGGCACCCAAATCAACATCTGAAAGCTGGCCACCTGAGAACGTTTGGATCTTGAAACAAGTGCCTTAGTTGCTCAGATTCCTTCCTCAGAAGTGGTAGGTCATCACAGTGTGCAGTCACAGCTCTCTGATTATACAGCGCTTCAACTGAAGCGAAGTTATTAGCTCTTCCTACTTTGCTAATATTTTCAATATAGAAAATTCTCTTTGATGCATCACTTAATCTCACTGCTAGAAAAACTAATAACTCTATCCAGGAATGTAACAGAACACAGAGAGCAAATTTTCTTACATACAGTGATGACATTCAAGGCTGGAGAATATTAATTTTGATGTAAGAAAATCAGTGAAATGGCTAACAGTCATGATGAAGTTTTTTCATTTGTTTACTTCAATTATGTAGGTTACAAGCTGTGATGTCTCCCTCCCTCCCTGCCTTTCAGTCACCACTTAAAATTATTTTAATGGGCTAACTAGTAGTCACTAGGATAGTTATGAAACCTACAGTGTTAATGGTGGTCATCATGCCTAACTTTTAAAAACTTGTTTTAATTACCAGGACTTCAGAAATTACCAGTACACGCTGCCTGTGGTCCAAGGTTTAGTGGTTGATATGGAAGTCAGAAAAACCAGCATCAAAATTCCTAGCAACAGATACAATGAGGTAATGCTTGTAAGAAATACATTTGTGTACAGTTTCTTTGTGGTTGGAGGACCTGGGATCTAAAGGAATTTTATTTTATTCACTACCACTAGGGAAGACTGCCTCAAAAGCAAATGATAAATGCACACAGAATGTTGCACATGTGTTTTGAGAGTGAGTGAGGGTGGCTCCACAGAAGGAATGCAGTTCAATTTAGTATTAATTAAACTCTTAAACTCTTTTTCTTCAGTTTTTTTAACTGTTTACATATAAAATGTAATTGTAAATAATAGAAAATACTGGTTTGATTTGAACAAATAAGTAGACAAACTTTACACTTGAGGTAAACTAGGAGGAAAAAGTGCATTAGCTTTTTTCATCTATGTTGTGAGTGCATACTCAAAGTGTTTATTAGTATTTTCTAGGTTGCTGTTTATTTTATGTAAAATTTCTCTCAACATCTAAATTTTATACCTGATTCCTGATGTGAGAAAATCAATCAGCGTCTTTAGGATTTAGTGCTGTTGAGAAAGCTGGGTGAGAAGATATTTGAACAATAATGAAAGAGAGCAATGGAGAAGGTGATTGATTTCATGTTCTCTCTGAAGAGGAGGGGGTAACTTGGTATTTTGAAACCAATCAGCAGTTGGGGTGAAAGCAAACCTCCTGGGTAAAATGGTGTTTGTAAAGGTTCTTGTAATATCAAAGCAGAATACAGCTTTATCTCAAGAGAGAATTTCCCTGCAAGAAGCATTTGAGTAAAATAATAGTGAGAGTAAAGAAATAAATTTAAGAAAGGACGAAGTGTTCTTATGTGAAGTTTGAAAAGCTGAAACTGATGAAGCAAGAAGATAAAGGGTCTGTTAAAAGGTATATTAATTCTTGATGCAGTTGTGAGAAAATGGAAAAGGTCAGTAAAGTTTGCATGAATTAAATACAGACTGACACACAAGATGCAGTTTTGTAAGCATTAGCTTCAGTTCTGTATTAGACATTGCACTAAGCTGGGCTGTGAGGAAATCCCTGTGTTATCCAGTTCAGGAAAATCTCTGCATCGTGTTTGGGTTCTTTTTCCAGTGTGAAGCAAGGATTCAGCTTTTTAAATGGAGGAAGTTTTATTTATTTAACATTATTGCTTGCAATCCAGTTGAAAGATTGAATTACTAGAGATTTTTCATCTGAGTATAGTTTGAATTAAGATGAATTAAACCACAAGACCTTTACTTTTTTCTCATGTAAAGCAGTATTTAATTAGAAAAGAGTGTCACTCAAACTATCTAGAAAGTGAAAAACTTGTTTTAAATCTCATGGATGGATTAAATGTAGAGAATTCAGATGGCAATTAACAAATTAAATATCAATATATAAT